TTCATGCAAACGTTCGCCTATCTGGAACAACCCTGACATACTACAGAACAATGATATGGTTACAGCAGGGCCTTGGGGTGCAGGGGAGGCACCATGCCCTGCTGTGTTTTAAACACACTTTAAAACAGCACACAGCAACAACACATATGAGTGGGCTGAGAGGTCTTCACACCTTACTTATCACACTTTATTAGTTACTGATACTTATACTTATCTCGGTTGTTGCTGTGGTCTCCCTGCTGTGTTGTTCTCTTTTTGTGTGTTTCTTCTTTTTTCTTCCAGCAGCTGATCCAGTGGATAAACTGTTTATGCTGAGTCTGCAGGGGGTCCCAATGACATCATGCCTCGTCCCTGTACCGAAGACGCCACGTCCCGGTGGCTCCCAGGATTACAGACCTGTGCCCCTGACCTCCCACATCATGAAGACCCTGGAAAGACTCATCCTGGACCAGCTCTGACCCATTGGCAGACCACATCAGGATCCCCTTCAATTCGCTTACCCGCCCCACCTCAGAGCTGAGGACGCCATCATCTATTGCTCAATCGTGCCTACACCCACCTGGACCAGCCGGCGAGCACTGTGAGGGTCGTGTTTTTTGACTTTTCCAGTGCTTTTAACACCATCAGGCCGATCCTCCTGGGTGATGAGTTAACAGCGATGCAGGTGGATGCTTCTCCCGTGTCCTGGATTGTTAATTACCTGACAGGAAGACCACATGTACACATCCTGGACAGGGAGGAACGCTGGTTTGAGCGCGGAGTCAAGGAGGCCATTTACGTGAAAAGGGAAAGACCATCTCTGAATGGAGGAGGGGCCTAAGGGTCCATCTGTCACCATCTTACAATGCTGTGATTGCAGCCATTCCCCAACTCTCTGTGAATGGGACTCATGGCCATTGATCAGTGGTTGTTGATCAATGGTCATGAGAATTTGCGTAATTTCACTGAAACCAGCCCTCCCAGCCCATTGTTCCTTCAGGGCTGGTTTCAGTGAAATGCAAATGTCCTGTTTATAAGATTGAAACCTGCAGTCAGCTGAGACTGAAGACGTCACCTGATGATGACGAAACGTTTCTCCCACAAAACGCTACGTCCAGGTGAACCGAATCAACTTTTGGAGACACAGGAAGTTATTTCATCGAAATGCCATTCTTATATATCTCTGTAATATTCTTGATATTTATAATTGAACTATTTGTATGTATTAGAGCTATTTCTTATATTTTGTAACTATGTAATATATTGTATTATTTAATGTTCAGTCTGTTACAGTTACTGTCTGGAGCAACTGTAACCACGTACTTTCCCAGGGATTAATAAAGCATGCTGATTCAGATACAGATACAGATGCGTCCACACTAATACATTTTTGTTTGAAAACGCATCGTTTTCTCTCCGTTTTGGCCTCCCGTCCACACTGAGACGGTGTTTTCCCCGAAAACGCAGCGTTTGGAAAACGCTCTCGAAAACAAATACATTTGAAGACGGTGCTTTCGCGTTGCAGTGTGGACGGTGAAAACGGAGACTTACGGAGACGCATGTTAGTCATGTGATGCAGTCATGTGACCAATTAAACAAAGACAGCGGAGGGCATTATACAGCAGTTGTTTTGTCTGACAGCCCTATTAAAGATTGATATCAGTCTGTACGTGCTCCAGAGAGCTTTTCTTCAAATTCTTTAACTCTCACTGGTTTTGCAACTTTGTACTTTTGTGTTACTCGCAGCAACAACTCCACCTCATTGTGAGTCCATTTAAAAAACTCAGGAAAGTAAATAAGCGGCAGACAGAAATGAGGCCGGTCGAATCTTCTTGTGTTTCACGCATGCACAGGACTGGAACGTAAGCGTTTATGGCCGTTTCAATGTGGATGCACAACTCTGTGAAAACAACTGAAAACACTAGTGTGGACGCGGAGCGCTTTCAGACGAAAATGCCGTTTTCGTATGTACTGTATCCGGGCCAGTGTGGACGTAGCCACTGTGATGGTACTATATCCCCCTGTAGGTGTATATCCCAGCAGTTTGGTCTCAGAGCACAGGCTGAGGCTCAGGCTGTGGGAGACTTCCCATGATGCACTGAGCATTTTCCTCCCACTAACCTCATTTCAGTACCATTGCCTTTATATGCCAGTGCTGCACATCGTGTCTACTTTTGTCTACTCTCTCCCAGTTAAAAAGGAATTCCTCCAACCCGTCATTGTGAAGTGGGATTGTCTGATCCTTGGAGTTCTCTCTCTGCCACAGTACACCCACCACCAATGCAGGCACATCGAGTACATATGAAACTCCACACAGAAAAACCAACTGGCTTGAACTAAAGGCCTTCTGTGAGGCAACAGTGTGAAGCAGTGCATCTCTGAACACTGAATTTAAATGTTACAGTAAATCACTTCTTTTTAAACTGGCTGCATTTTCAGTGTCCAGGTGTAAGACCAGCAGAGGGGAGTAAAATCACACACTTCTGTGTGTGAGATACTGTTGCTTCAGTACATCAGTGCTATGACAGCATGTGAAAAACACGGGAAAGCAAGCTTTAGTTGTTTTAATCTATTTATCTTAAAGACATTTATGGCCAGACTAATGAAGCAGACCGCTGAGGTCAGGCTGTGTAACTGTGCAATGGATCACTGGCAAAATGTCATCTATATACTGTATTTTGATGCCTTTAACTAATAGTAAATATAACATAAAACATATAAAACAATTAGAATGTGTATCACATGAAATCATTTCAGGAACATTACGTGAGCAATTAGGACTTGGCCACAACTGATTTTCATGTTCATCCTGAAGGTGTTGGATATTCTTGAATCAGTGCTCTGAGTCAGTGCAGTCATGCTTATCAACGCACAGCCGGGGAAATCTAATTGGCCGTTTTCTTGCACAGTGCACACAGCACTCAGTACTGCATCTGTATATTTCTGATGTCAGAAATGATCAACAACAAAAAGAGCAGAGGCACAGCTGAGCCTGCAGGTTCAGCAGGATGTCTGCTCAGACTGCCTTCTCAAAATAAACATGAATCCAGACGTAAAAGATGAGATTGCATGTGTGCTGAGCTGAGCCTAATGACCATAATTTCATAATTTTTCTAGGCAGTGGTCTAATTGGTATAATTTGTACAATAAATAAAGATGTGCAGAATTATTCTTTACATTCTGTATAATGCTTTTCACATCATTTTCCATGTAATGATTTTAAATGTTGCAAAATCTGTGGAAAGCATCAGCACTAACGTCAGCAGACTGCAGTCTGAATGCCAGCAAACAAAAGGTGTCTTTAGACAGCATCAGCGGGCGGGTCATTAGTGACACGTTAATGAGCCATGATAAGTGCAGAGGTTATAAGCTGAAGCTTTTTGGTTTGCTTTGTTTATTCATTCACAGGAGTCGCTCACTCTGTTCGCTTGGATCTCTCTGCTGTTACTATAGGCCATGAACTCCATCACTGTGCACACACTTGTTCTACCTGTCTACTATTTTATTTACAATTTATCTGTTTCATACGGCTTCACCACTACAATGGAAAATGGCAAATCATTGTGGGGATGGCTGCAGTCATTCTTCAACACAGACTGAACTCTGTCTGGCAGCTTTCTTGTAATTTCTCCACGTCGTCTCCAGGAATAGTTTTCGAGGCTTCTTGAAGGACGTTCAAAGCTTTTCTGTCAAGATGATCGCACACTGATTCAATGATTTTGAGATCTGGACCAGGCCAGTCTATTACTGATAATGTTCTGTTGTGTGTTTTCTACCTTGATATGCTGTTACTGCATTGATAGCATCTTTGGGATCACTGTCCAATCAGAGGCTTTGAAACCCAGCCCCAAACCACGACTGAGCCTCCACTGTTTTCCACAGATGACTGTAGACCCTCACTGTGGTAGCTCCATCCTGAGCTCCTCCGAACATACTGATGGCGATTTGGATCCAAAAAGGCTAATCTGGATTCACCACTCCATGCGGCCTTCCAGTGATTTTTTAAAATGTATTTTTATTTGATTAGCATTCAAATAGATCAATGAATACAGAATTAAGATCTACCACAAAGCAAGAAAGCACGAGGCAAGGCTAATCAAAAGATGCTTATTACGCCAAGCCTTTTAACAAAAGCTCATTTAGCGTGCAGCTCATATACACAGGGCTCGAAGCAAAAGAGTAAAACAAACAAAAATCAAAACAAAAACCTTCCACCTTAGATAATAAATCACATTTCATAACAACAATCAAAGCAAAACAACCAAGAGTTTCAGTATTATTATGGCTCTATTTTTAAACATGTTTTTAAACAAGGAAAATGAACTAGATCTTTTGAAATCACTGTCATAACTCTTCCACACATTAACCCCTCTGACAGAAACACATCTCTGCTTTATGTTTGTCCTTATCTTGCTTTTTCTTGCTCTGGAGTAATTTGGCACACCTCAGCCTTTCCTCCCTGTATCATTAAGAATGGCTTCTTGACAACCACACTTTGACTGGGACCATTTCTGATGAGGCCTCGGTGACGTTAGATGGATCCACTGGAGGGTCGGATGCATCTCTCAGATCTTTGCTGGGTTTCTTCCTGTTTCTCACAGACATGACTTGTAATATGTCGTTTATACTGTTGTTTACGGTGTTTTTGCCAGAGGCTTGTCGGCAGTGTCAGCATGCACTGCTGAGATTAAAATGATTTCTTTGCCAGTTCACTCCCAAGGTTTAAAAAAATAAAGAACTTAGGGCTTCATTTAAATCGTTTATATACCATCAACATCACAATTTTAATTTTTGGTCACATTTTTCCACCAGTCTTTCGACTTATTTGCTACTAATGCTGAAAATGTCTATACAGAGATCTTGGTTACTGCAGAGTCCATGCACACCTGCAGTTTGATGGCTTGTGTTGTTGTTAATTAAACCCTGTCTAAATAAATGATCTATAGCTGTATTACAGATGGTTAGAGCTCGATCAACAAAAAGTAAAGAGCGTCATCTGCATTAACTGGAGCGCATTAAGTCACGCTACGTTGAAGTGGCTCATTGTGCGCTCGGGAGCGGTGTAGCTTTAAGAAGGAGGTGGGCAGCGCTCCGATGACGCATGAATAATCCTGAAAAGACGCTTCTAAACTCCAGGCCGGAGCCAGCGTGTATGATGGCTGTTGACTGAGCTGGAAGAATTTCCGAGCCTGGCACGATCAACTGTTGAGAAAATAGTTTGAACAGGTTCAGGAGCTTGGGAAGCGACTCTAAATGCAGAATAAAACACACCCATTCTGGTAGATTGGCTTCTCCAAAAGACAAATACAGTTATTTACTATTAAGGCATTTACTAACGACAGAGGGCTTTCTGTTTGCAGCTCTATGTGCGCTGCCGAGAGCCAACTTGAGGGAAGGAACATTGGAAGAATATTTCTCTAAAAGTCTTTGGCTGTCTGTCTTGAAGAGGAAGTGCTACCATGCCACATTTGAGAACACTATGTGTCTATTTCTTGGTAGCCCTGAGCCTAGTTATGACAAACACCATGACCGAGGACTTAGATGTTTTGGTATTTTTGCCACAAAATAATTCTTATCTTTTTTCATATGAACGAGTCGCACCGGCGATCCGTTACGCACAAAAGAGGCTGAAGGCAGACGGGGGTCAGTACTCCGGGTTCAACTTCAACATCCAGTTTGAAAACTCCGACTGCCTCTATGATGCTTTCTTCACATTGGCGGACAGGTCTTGCGGACAGAAGCCCGACCTGATCCTGGGTCCTGTGTGCGAGTACGAGGCTGCGGCAGTGGTAAGGCTGGCGTCCCACTGGAACATCCCGGTGATCTCGGCAGGTGCCCTGGCCACAGGTTTCGCGAACAAGAACAAAGAATATTCCCACCTGACTCGCATCGCCCCGCCATACGTGAAAATGGCAGAGACTTTCACGGCGATGTTTGAACACTTCTCCTGGAGGAGCGCTCTGCTGGTCTTCGAGGACGACCGGGAGCAGCGGAACTGCTACTTCACGTTAGAAGGAGTATACCATCTGATGAGTAACTATAACATTGAAAGCTATGTGTTAACTGATGACAAACCCCTGGACACTGACGAGCTGCTGCGAAGCATCAGTGACATGGAAGGTAAAGCAGCTTTCCTTACTCTTTAATTAGACGGTGTCTACAGTGTGCTTAATGACAGCTGAAATAAGTCTTGACTTTAGCTCATCGTCACTGGATTTGGCTGACAGCTAACCATCATTCATAGCTCGGTGTAGACTATATATGGTTTGTGTTCTGTATGAAAGCCAGCGAGTTTCAGTTGATGAAACCAATGAGCCCTACACTGACGTGCCCTTCACAAGCCTGCATTTATCTGACATATCAGTTTGTACATGCACTCATAGTCCTCCTCTACAGCAGATTTCAGTGAATGCAACAATCGTAATGGGCTAAATTAGCCACTGCCAGCAAATGTAAGTACAAGTATATACCTGCACTGTCACACTAGTATTCACAGTCTGTACATTAACAACTATCCAAGTTTCACGTTTCAGCCCATTTCAGCTTCAGCAGTCTGAACTCGGTCGGTGTTGTGGCTCTTTTAATCTCCTCCTCCACAGCAGCCTCTCAGTACACGCAATAAATGGCATTATTACCAAAAGCAGCACGATCTGCTCATGCACAGGGATTAACTGACAGCTCACTGAATCAACTAAATGTTTTATCAGACACAATAAGCAACCTGAAGCTGTGAGAGATGTTTCCTCTTATTCACTGTTCTGTCCTGTTCTCTTACTACACTATTCACATAACAAAAGGCAGCGCTTCAGAAATGATACTAGACAATACAATGAAAAGCATTTTCACTTTTTTGCACATTTCTCAAACTTCCATGTTTCAGATCATCAAACAAATTTAATATTAGACAAATTGAAAATGCAGTTTTTAAATGATGATTTAAAAACCCCACCTGGTCCTGTGTATTAAAAAAAGTAATTGCCCCAATAGGGCTGTGCGATATGACCAAAATCTCATATCCCGATGCAAAACATCTATCGTCCGATAACGATATAAATCACAAAAATGTAACATTTTCTGTAAATTCTGTGAATCTCGGGCAGCTGAAGTGTTTCCAGCTGGGCGTCGTGTATCTGGATCTCGTGTATCTATCATACCGATGCATGAAACGACACATTTTAGACATAAGTTGTAACGGCCGCGTGAGTATTTATTACACGGCGTGCTGCGGGGAAAAGCCTGTTCTAACGTTTGAGTCTAAGGTTTATTTTTTAGCACCTGGCGGCACTTTTTTGCTTCTCATCCGTAAACTCTCTGCATATTCTTTCACGTGATTCAGTTTATTTTGAAAAGTCTCAACAGGATCTTGAGCTTTATTGTGAAAGGTTTATGTGGAAAACAAGCGGACAGGCGATGGTGTTACTGTCGTTGTTGCTAACGACAACGCATAAAAACAGGCGCTTGTCCATCGTAGTGTGGTTATATTAAATATAAGAGAAAGAGAGAACTTTAAGAAACTAATAATAACTACAGTGACATCAGAACCATGAACAAATATCGCCGTAAACAGTTTATTTTGCGACACCACGAAACAAACTATAGCGTAAAATGAAACGATAGACATTTTTATATCGTCATCCGATATATATCGTTATATCGAACAGCCCTAAGCCCCAATTTGATAAATCATGAGTCATGTGATCAACCACATCATTTTTTAAGACCTGGGTTTAATTTGGGGCGACCGTGGCTCAGGGGTTGGGAAGCGCATCTGTAACCGGAAGGTCGCAGGTTCAATTTTCGGGCTCTCTGTCCTGGTCGTTGTGTCCGTGGGCAAGACAATTTACCCTACCGCCTACTGGTGTTGGCCAGAGGGGCCGATGGTGCGATATGGCAGCCTGGCTTCTGTCAGTCTGCCCGAAGGGCAGCTGTAGCTGCCTCCACCAGTGTGTGAATGTGAGAGTGAATGAATAGTGGAATTGTAAAGCGCTTTGGGTGCCTTGAAAAGCGCTATATAAATGCAATCCATTATCATTATTAATTTCCTTAGCCACACCCCTTTAATGTCAAAGCCTGTGATTCAACAATAAGAAAGAGACAGCGAAACGGCATCGACGGGCGATTTCCAGGAGAAACGCCGGCTCATCTCACGATGATGTTTGATTATTTTTGGAGGAAATAGTCTGTGGACATCACTGCTGATGTAAAAGACAGCATTTCATAACAGGAACATCACACCAACAGTCCAACATGGTGGTGGTGGTGTGATGGTCGGGGGTTGCTTTCATGCTTCAGGATCTGGATGTAATTAGTGGAACCATGAATTCTAGGACAATGTCAGTTTGCTCACTCATGTGCTGCAGCAGCACACACAGAGTGTCTTCCTCTGAATAGTTTTTAAGAAACAGGTTTTTTAGTGGCCTATTCAAAGTCCATCTGATATGTTTAATCTTACAGTGAAATCATTATTAAAAACCAACAATGTTATCTTATTAAAATTTGTTTCATCTGAATCATGTGTGATAAATATGCAACAAACTAAGGAATCAGAAAGAGGTCGAATACTTTTGCATGGCACTATCTACAGTAAATAATGTAACATCTATAATAATGTATCCAATCATAATTTTTAAAGATCTCTGGTGTTTTTAGAAAATTAAGATGAATACAGAAGGAAGCTGTCCTGTAACTGAGAGAAACCCTGTCAGATATAGCTCTGCTGCTTCTGCAGTGATTCCTCACAGCTCTGAAAACATGCGTGATTTTTCACCCTGTTCCTTTTCAGATCCAAGCAAACATCCCTCGTGTAACACAAGCTATCGGTGGTGATAGGCATGTGTGTGTTTGTTTGTCCTCACCCCGCCCACTGCCTCCACTGCTTAGACAGACTTACATAACATCCTGCATGCTGTCTGCATGGTCCATCATCTCGTGTCTAATGGTTTTGTTGCTTCTCACTTGACAATCTGGACTCCTTCTTCTCTCCAGGAACATTTCCAACTCACCTCGAACCACACCAGCCAACTAGCATCGTGTATGCTGTCATTTCTACACGATTGCTCTGTTTGCTGCTGTATCACTGTGTTTCACTGCTCATCGCTGTGTCACACAGCTTCTTCTCTGCGAGTGTGTTCAGAGGTGTTTTTGCATGGAGCCATTAAAAACTGCCAATGGAAAGTAAAGTAAGCCAAAACCATTTAAACCAGTGGGATTACTGTTGGTAAATAAAGCATGGTAATGAAGCGCAGCAAATCATAGGGCCACCCAGTAATCAATCCAGGGACTCACTCAACACATTTGAACCCATGTGATATGTGCTTAAAGCGCGAGGCTAAAATACTGATAAGCAGGTTGTTGGCACTGCTGCTGTGGTCATGACAGCCCTGAGGAAGTGGAACCATATCAGAGTAGCTGCGCCGGTGTCATACAGAGTTGCCTGTGATAAACTTTAAATGGTGACGAGAGGCTAAGGGTACTTGATAGCAAGACATGAGTTTGAGATATTTTATGGGACTCAACAGCCGAGCAGTGGGCAGAGCTGAACGCTCCTCCATGTTTCATGTGTGGCTACACAAAAACATCAATTCAATTCAATTCAATTCAATTCAATTTTATTTATATAGCGCCAAATCACAACATAAGTCGCCTCAAGGCGCTTCATAGATACAGAGAAAAAAAACCCAACAATCATATGACCCCCTATGAGCAAGCACTTTGGCAACAGTGGGAAGGAAAAACTCCCTTTTAACAGGAAGAAACCTCCGGCAGAACCAGGCTCAGGGAGGGGCGGCCATCTGCTGCGACCGGTTGGGGTGAGATCAATAATCAATAACCAATGTGAACAGCAGGCTTTTCTAAGAAATCTTTCCTAATTAGCTTCCAGTGAGAGGCATCATGTCTGATGATGCTGTGACAGCTCTCACCTTTTCCCCGTGCTGGCACTCAGTTGCTACTCTCATCTGTTATGATGTCATAGTCACGTTTGTAGGAAATGATCAGTTTTTACACAAAACTCTGTATGGAGAGTTCAGAAGAACAGAAATGCCCACAAACATGGACTGTTGCATATTATACAACTTGTTCAAGATGAACAACTACTTCAGTGTAAAACAACTGCCAACATGATCTTATAAATGGTGTTGTTGGCCTGTCACAGTGCAGCGTTACAGCCTGCAAAGCAACTATTGTACTGCGAAATATCACCAGGGCTCAGGATGGGCCCAAACAAACAGGAATAGGTCAACTTGATAATAATTACATATTATTCGTTATTTTTTGCTGTATGGTGTTGCTTTCACCTGACAGCAAAGAGGTGCTTGATCAGCAATAAGAAAATGATGACGTCTGCGGTAAATAGTGAGTTATTACTGCTAAAACACTAATAATGTCCAAATATCTTGTATAAACAGTAGGGATGAGACTCAGTTTTGCAGAGCTGAGTCGCAGTAGTTCAGTTCGGGTTAACAGTTAGTCTGCTTATCAGTGTGACATGCACTCGAGCTACAATCAGCTGGTTTCAGTCTGTTGCAGTCTACAGCATGGATATGGACGTTATTTTACTACATAAAAGGACGAGAACGCGACGGTAAAGTGCAAGCTGCATCTATCTGCACAGATGCCATGCTAATGCTAAGCTAGCCAAGTGATGTTAGAGTGAGCGAATGCTGACCCTACCCCAGCAGCCAGAACCTGAACCTCAACAGGTGACAAACAGGTGAGCAGTTGGACTGCAGCCTCTGTTTCGACCTGTTCTTCTTTCTAAGTTAGAATCACTGTGGTGATAAAGTTTGTTCTGATTTTCATCTTTGCTTTGTGTTTGTTCATACCTAAATACTGAGAGAAAAATCATGTGTATGTCCTCATTAGGGCAGGGCTTGTAACAGCCACTATGGTGTGGTGTCCCTTTAAGACACCCAAGTCGAGGGTTGATGGTGTCATCAGTGTGTGCCACTGGTCTCTCTCTCTCGCTCCGGGATTATGAGGACACGTGCCTTCACGCTTGTGCTTAACGAGGGACAGATTTATGTTTTCTTCTCCAGACCTTTTTTTGTTTTATTTGCAACGCTTGGGTTGTATGAGCGCTGGGCGTTATGTTGTTGAGCTGCAGCCGTTCAGCCGGGCTT